TATCGTTCGGTTATTTCGGCCCCTCGGAATATCGAATAAAAAATGCGGTGCTGCGATATCGCCGAGGGGTTTCTTAAATGCTTCCTGGGGTTAGTTTTTCGAGCACCCAGACCAGGGCCCGACACGTGAAGAGCCTTCCGCTTCGGTACCTCCTCGGTGTTCGGAGCCTTTTGCTGGTGATCGAGGCTATGGAGCAGGTTGGAAACATCATGCTGCTTGGGCCTTGACGCGCGCCGTGGTCCCCCCCCCCCCACGACGCAGCGCACAGGCCCTCAGAGTGCGCCCCCGGCGCTGCCGCTGCGGGCAGGGCACGGCGGGGGGTGAGCGTCACGTGATGCCCCACCCCCATCCCGGCCCCCCCCCCATCCCGGTCCCCCCCCCCCCTTCCGCCATGCATGACGCCCGCTGTCGCCGCCAGCGGAGGAGCGCGCTTCTGGTCTCCTCCCCCCCCCTCGCACCTCTCCCCTCTCCTCCCCTTCTCTTCCCCTCCTCTTCCCCTCTCCTCCTCGCCTTCTCCCCTTCTCCTCCCCTTCTCTTCCCCTCTCCTCCTCGCCTTCTCGCCTAGTCCCTCTCCTCCCTTCTCTTCCCCTCTCCTCCCCTCCTCGCCCTCCCCTCCTCTTCCCCGCGCCTCCTCGCCTTCTCGCCGAGTCCCTCTCCTCCCTTCTCTTCCCCTCTCCTCCCCTCCTCCTCCCCTTCCCTTCCCCTCTTCCCCTCTCCTCCTCCCCTCCTCTTCCCCTCTCCTCCTCGCCTAGGCCCATCCCCCCCCCTTTGCGCCTCCCGCACCCGCCGAGAGGCGCGGGCCTTTCTCTCCCCAGAGACCCCGCCCAGGGGAGAGGGGAAGGAGACGGGAGCACCAGGCCCGGCGCAGTCTTCCTGGGCATCGGATCGCCGCCGTTGTCCTGTCGTTGTCCGAAAATTCCCCTGTAGGGGGACAGGCCCGACTTAACCATTTTCCGTCGTCGTCGTCGTCGCTGGCGGCCGCTTGTTTCCGCCTCCCTGCCTGGACCTCGTGCGCCCTGCGTGGGCGCGCGCGGGGGGCCAACCCAGAATCCTGGAATCCCAGGGGTCCCTCCTCCACTCCCCGGCCTGCTGCCTCCTCCTCGTCCTCCTCCCCGTCCCTCCTCGTCCTCCTGCTCCGACGCTCCAGAGATGCAGAATAGCAGCGGCCCCCTCAGATGTCTACAGCTGCATCGTACGTACAGTAGCCATATTTTCTTTACATTGCAAGTATACACATGTTCGTACCCAAAGGAGATCCCACGAGACCCCCGAAAAGATCCCAAGAGGCCCAAAGAGGTTCCCTGACCCCAGAAAGGCCTCTCAAAAGGCCCCGGAGAGATCCCAAGAAACCAGCAATGATTCCCATGGAGCTCTCAGAGGCCCCAGAGATTGCACATAGGCAGCAGGCGTGGGGGACCTGCGGATTCAGGCAAAGTCTTGTTATTCGTGTTTTTGCTAATCGAGGTCAACGGCCAGCTCATCAAACACACCACATCCACTTGGCCAAAACCGAGGTGGCCAATGTCTGGGGGTGAACCCTCTCCGCAGCATTAATGAGGATGCGAACCAGGTCTTTGTCGGGGTACGTCCACCAGAATCTGGGGTTACCAAGCTCTACGGCGGTGTGCAAACATAAATGCATACGTAAATGAAGCTTCGGCGATATCTTCCACACCCTAAGGTAGCTTTCAAAGCACATCCCCAAAAAGCGGGCATACATTGCCCCCCGGCTCATTTGCCAATTCTGGCAAGCGATTGCGGGTGTAATCCGACAGAAACACAGATTCGCTTTCTAGTATATGTAAAATACGTATAGAAGCTGGCATACGTCAGAGGATTGCTCATCATGAAGCTTCGTGATCGCGCTGGGAGAATCTAGCTTTGCAAACCTGCTGAGGAGGCTCAATCCGTACGACGCCAGATGTCGAGTTGTAGCTGCTTTCGCTTCTAGTTTTTGCCACGCCCCAGAAGTGTGCACTCGATCCCGCGTTAATGCACTTTGGAGGCGAGAGGTGCACTTGTTTTGTTGATGCCAATGCTTCAATTCGTCGCCACATCTTTTTATCCGCTCTGCTTAAGTTGCCCCTCCGAAGCAAGCCTTGATCACAGCAAAGTACCAATCATATGGCCAGTGATGTGATAGCCTATGGCCTTGTCTACCGTGTGCAAAATATCTACCATTACATTTTCGAGTGGGAGGCCTATGGCCCCAGACATTGCCATGAAGAAAGTTGGGATCGCGAAGCTTGACGCCCTGATATAAATTCAAATGCGTTTCATGCCGCCAGCCAGCGGCACGCCGAAAAGTAGTCCAGATGAGATCAGGATGAGCGGAAGAGGCGCGACAGAACGGGCACATGCATTCAGCTTCATTCCAGCGCGGGAATCGGAACAAGTTTGCATATGATTCCCCATCGCCGCGGACTTAAACCAGACAGCCACGAGTGCCAGAGGTAAGTTCCACGCCGCCACCGGCAACGCGCCTCCCTTTCCAATCTAAGCGAGGGTTTTCGCCCGAAAGCATCACGTTGCATGACCAGGCGAATGCCTCGACCAATTGGTCCAAGGCATCGGCGACCAGATCCTACTTCTTCACGACAGAAATAAACCAACGAGTTTGGACAGCGCGGCCAATTAATAGCAATGAGTTCCAGTTCAACGTGCACCGGCGACTGTGCTTGTTAAATCCACCCTTGCCCCCATGAAACCCAATCGGCAGGATGGCGCGCCCTCGATCCCTTGGCAGGACTGGATGATTGCGTTCCCCAAATCGAGACGCTGCTCGGTCAGCTCCAGTCACGCGGTATCTCCAAAGATGTGGCTTGGCCGCAGGTGACGTTTGAAGCCATTTGTGAGGCCACATGACAGGATGGGGTGTCTTTCGATCCCCATCCAGCCGCACAACCAGCGAGCAGCAGTGCCGCCGCGACCAGAACGGGGCGCACGTCGAGCCAGTGTTGTGCGGCCCGGACATCTATGTATGGTCCGTGGCGGGCAGGTATCTGCTAAACAGGGCCTGCATCGCCAAGAGGCTTGAACGTGTGACCAGGGCCGCGCGGCAGGCAACGCACGCGGACAAAGACGGGGAGAGTGACGTTCACAACGACGACCAGCACATAGAGGCGCGTCGTCGCATGCAGGCGAAGGCGCCTCGAAGGGTTGAGCCGCCCAGTATTTAAGTAGCGATTTGCAATCCCATGCCTGTCTCTTTACGCTACCTCTCTGTAACCATTTGGCGTGATGCTCCTGTGTTAGTGTAGCACCTAGGAATAAAGTGGGCATCCCGCCATAAACATAGTATAGCTTAGTATGTACAGTTGAAGAAAACATAGAGTCAGGTTTCTTATTTCGGTCTCAAGTTCTTACTCTCGAGACAACATCGCTATGTACATGCAGGCCGAGATTTGAGTTTGTATGTAAGCCCCTTGTTTACTGAGTTGTATTTTGCCTCTGGCTCAAATTACTGTTTGCTGCCATCCCACAGCTAGTTTGACCGTGCGCGTCGAGTTCTCCGTTATTATTGGTAACACCGCTCGCTATCTCAATGAAGTAGTCTCTGGTTGGAATCCTTGCAGGATTGAGGAGGCGGCGGAGGAGGAGGGGAGTGCCGAGGAGGGAGGACGACCGAGACGAGGAGAGCGAGAGGGGGGGGGAGGGAGGGGGGGGCCGAGGAGAGGAGGAGAGGAGGAGCTGCAGCGAGGAGGAGGAGGAGGAGCTGCAGCAGAGGAGGAGGAGGAGGAGGAGGAGGAGGAGGACAAGGGACGGAGGCAAGGAGGACAGGAATGCGGCGACCACCGCGCGCTCCGGCGCCGCCGCGCCCCAGGAGGTCCTCACCGCCCGGGTGGAGGAGGCTCTGGGCCTCGGCCGCGGAGCCGACCAGGCCCTGCCCCCCCCCTCCTCCTCCTCTCCTCCTCCACCTCCTCCTCCTCCTCCTCCTCCTCCTCCTCCTCCTCCTCCTCCTCCGTCCTCTCCTCCTCCTCCTCCTCCTCCTCCCCCCTCCTCCTCCTCCTCCTCCTCCTCCTCCTTCTCCTCCCTCCACGTTCTTCCTCCCGCCTCCTCTTCCCAGGAACGCCGGAGCGTTTTTGTTGGCCCTGTTCGGCCCCGCTGGGTGCGTTCGCCGGGCCCGGGGGCCGTCACGAGAGGGCTCTGGGGTGAACGACTGGGCCCCGTCGTCCAAGTCGCCGTCGTCGTCGCCGTCGCCGCCGCCGCCGCCGCCGGCCCCGTCGTCCAAGTCGCCGTCGTCGTCGCCGTCGCCGCCGCCGCCGCCGTCGTCGTCGTCGTCGCCGTCGCCGCCGCCGCCGCCGCCGCCGTCGTCGTCGTCGTCGTCGTCGTCGTTGTCGCCGCCGCCGCCGCCGCCGCCGTCGTCGTCGTCGTCGTCGTCGTCGTCGTCGTGCACCCGTCTCCCCACAGGGGCAGGGCGGGTGCGCGCAGAGGGGGTCGGGAGGCCTTCGAGGTCGTCTGTTTTGGGCCTCCGGGGGGCCTCTCGTCGGACCGCCCAGAGGAGCAGAGACGGCGCGGGGTGAGCAACGGGTCCGCGGAGATGGGCCGAGCATGTTTGGGGTCGATGCTGAAACAAAAGTCGTTACGTCGGGGAGTGGGGGACATCAGGCGGGGCTGGGACCTGGAGGCATCAATCCAGAGCGTTTCCAGACGTTCTCAGAGCGTTCTGGAGCGCTCAGGAATGGCCGCGGCTCCCGACACATCTTCTAGAACCGACGGGTGTCAGAGATCCCCGATCGGGCCCGATGTTGTCCCAGTTGTGGTTATGTTTTTTCAGACAGGCACTAGCCGTAGAGCCCCGAGCGTTAACGACAACGCAGCACTGGCTGGGAATTTCCGACTGCGGCAGGCAAAGCAGGCAAAGCAGGCAGAGCAGACAGTTGGAACGGCCAATTCTTCAAACACAAAAAAAAGTTGTCCAAGAAGGACCAGATCTTCAGAAACCGAGAAATCCCAAAAGCCCCGCTTGGAAGTTGCCCATGTGTTCACTCGTATCTCAGAGCGTGAATTACTTCCCCCGCTTTCGTTTCCAGGCAAAACCAAGCCATACCACGCGCCTCCTCGTCAAGCGGCCTGACCAGTACAGGCCGCAATTTGGCATCGTTTGGTATCTCTTGGAAGCGAGGGTGGTCAAAAGCGAGGTAGGTTTGTTTTCCCCCGAGTATATGTTGCTGCGTTCCGCCGCCCTCCCTCTCCAAGGGCGCCCTCGAGGGCGCGAAGTTCTTCGCGCTTCGCGGCTCGCCTCCGATTCCTCCTCGTCCTCCTCTTCCCCTCTGGGGGGCGGCGCGAGAGCGCGAAGCCGCCCGCGCTTCGCGCAGCGCGCAGCGCGAAGTTGGGCGCCCTTGCTCTCCCTCTCGCCTGTGCCCCTCCCCTCACCCCGCTCCCCTCCCCGCTCCCCTCCCCGCCCCTCCCCTCTCCCCTCTCCCCGCCCCCGCTCCCCCCTCCCCCCGCTCCCCTCCCCGCTCCCTCCCCGCTCCCCTCCCCGCCCCCCCTCTCCCCGCCCCCCCTCTCCCCGCCCCTCTCCCCGCCCTGGGGGGCGCGAAGGCCGGGGGGCCGCTGCTCCACGTGTGTGGACTTCCCGCCCTGTCCTCCTCCTCCTCCTCCTCCTCGCTCCTCCTCCTCCTCCTCCTCCTCCTCCTCCTCGCTCCTCCTCCTCCTCCTCCTCCTCCTCCTCCCTCCTCCTCCTCCTCCTCCCCCCTCCTCGCTCCTCGCTCCTCCTCTCGCTCCTCCCTCCTCCTCGCTCCTCCTCCTCTTCCTCCTCCTCCCTCCTCCCTCCCTCCCTCCCCTCCTCCCCCTGCCGGCGGCGAAGGCTCCGCAGCCCGACGGCCCGAGGCGCTCCTGGCTCTCTGTGGGCGGGGGGGGGGGGGGGGCGCCCGCTCTCGGCGCCCGCGCACCGCCTCGCGGCGGCGACTCGAGGGAGTATCGCCGCCACAGGAGGAGAATGAGGAGGAGGATCGAGGGGAGGAGAGGAGGAGGAGGAGGAGGAGAGGAGGAGGAGGAGGAGGAGGAGGAGGAGGAGGAGGAGAGGAGGAGGAGGGGGGGGGGGAGGAGGAGGAGAGGAGGAGGAGGAGGAGGAGGAGGAGGAGGACGAGGAGGAAGATCGAGGAGGAGGAGGAGGAGGAGGAGGAGGAGGAGGAGGAGGATCGAGGACGACGAGGAGGAGGATCGCGGACGAGGAGGAGGAAGAGGAAGAGGAGGAGGAGGACGAGGACGAGGAGGAGGATCGCGGACGAGGAGGAGGAAGAGGAAGAGGAGGAGCAGGACGAGGACGAGGAGGAGGATCGAGGAGGAGGAGGAGGAGGAGGATCGAGGAGCTCCCTCCCCTCCAGCATGCTCATCCTCCTACTGTGCTTCATCCCTCCTCCCTCCCTCCCTCTCGCCCTCCTCTATCTATCCATCCTATCGATCTTCCCTCGTCTTCCCGCAAGCCGTCTAGCTCACCCCCACCCGCCCTCCCAACACATGAGTCACACCAAGCGTGTCAGGCACGCCTGGTGCGCCAGATGCGCCACGTGCTCCGAGTGCGCCAGGTGTGCCGCACACTCCAGCCGCGCCAGGTGCGCCATGTTCGGGGCACGTGCAGAGTGCGTCAGGTTCGCCTGCGCACGTGACAGCACACATCGGGAACCATGTCGGCCCCCGCCATCCTTGTCGAAAAGCAATGCCCATGATTGTGTCTGGTGGGCCTGCGCACAGCAGACCACGCGCCACCACCCCCGCCGTCCCTGCCAAAAACCATTTGACAGTGATCGCGGGATGGCCGCGCATGATCCAGATACTAGCCGCGAGGTGCATGTTGTGCTGTTTTTTGTCGGGGATGGTAGCCCTGCGCACGGCAGGGAATCTGTTGGCACCCCCGCCGCCCTTGTCAAAAACAATACAAAGTGTTCGCGGGCCTCGGGCCTCTCGAGCATGATCCAAGATTTTGCCCCAAAGTGCACTTTGCATTGCTGTTTGACAGGGATGGTGGGGCCCTGCTGTTTGACAGGGATGGTGGGGGGGGGGCCGCATCCGGTTGGCCGCGCATGCTCCAAATGTGGAGGCAGAGTGCGGTTTTTATTGTTTTGTTGACAGGGATGGTGGGGGGCGGGCCCTCATGGTGTCGGCATGGCTCCTGGTTGGACGCCGGCCGGGTGGGGGAGGGAGTTTATATGAATAAGGAAAGTGATAAACCCCTCCCCCGTGCAGGGATGTAGAGGTTTCGGCACAGAGAGAAGACAAGGCTCGTTCAGCCATCTACGCCCAGAGGGCTGGTAGGGCTTCTTCTTCCCATCCGATCCTTCCATCCCTCCATCCCGTCTCCCTCTGCCTCTATTACCTCAGCATATTTCCTGCTGCCCCTCGTGCCGACGGCTACATCATACCGTCGCATACCTCCTCCCCCATTTCCATTACCTCATCCTCGTCCGGCCAGGAGGCGAATATGGAGTGAAGCAGGAAAAAGGATGAGGGAGACACGCAAGAGAATGACGAGGATGAGTATTGTACTGGCCTTACGGCCGATTCTGCCGAGTTGGAGAAGATAACAGTTTAGGCGCACCTATCGGGTGTTGCGTGGTGAAACAAATGGCGGCCTCGAACAACGTAGGAGCACGTCAGCGTTCCCACGTTTCCATCGAATTCTCAGGTTAGTCTCCATGTGGTTCGGAACGGAGGCTTGGCGGGTCAGCGCTGATAATCTAGTCTAGTCTTCATGTGTTTCGGCCTTGAACTAGCTGGAAGCGCGTCAGTATCCATCCTGCAGGTCCTCGTGCTTGACCATGTCTATTGACGTTTTTTTGACATGTCTCTTGCTGTTGGCGAAAATTTCCGCGACCGAAAACCAGGCTGTGTAGTAAGATGCCACAGTGGTGCTCTCCTTGGCTACATGATCCTTCTATTCGTGCCCTCTGGCGGGACTTGTCACGCGCTCCACTGCGATTTCACGCCCATTGTGTCAGTGTCGGACGTGAGACTTGCGATTGCCCGACCTGGTCACATTAGGTCCAACATTCGCCTCCCTTATCTCATCCTCATCCTCATCCCCAGCCCTGTGGCGGAATATTTGACACTGCATGTCACATGATGCAGGCTCAGTTGCACAAATTATGCGGATGTGTTTCCCCCAAGGCCGATGCACTAACAAGCTCTGCATCTCCCGCTTCCTCCCCGGCGCCGCCGACGGTGACGGCGACGGCGATAGCGATGAAGCAGGCGGGCATGTACCTCTACAGGAGGAATAGTCACAAACCAAACCTCACAATAGTCTGGGGACGATTTTTCGAGTATGTTTGACAATATTTCAGATTTGCTTGACTATTTTTAAGTTTGCCTCCGAAATCAGTTTGCACTGTCAATTCATCAGTTGCCGCAGATTGAAATTTGGCGACAGCGCCGCGCCAACATGCCCTACAAGCGAAAGTTCCAGTTTGACATCTTTCAACTTGGCGGAGGCACTGAGCCTTCTGCTCCCGAGAATGAAAACAAAACACTTGGCATCGCTCGGACGTGTGCGTTTTTTCCTCGGCGAGGACCATCCAGGAGCATCCTTGATCACTTGGCGAAAAAAACACGCACGAAACCCAAAAAAACACAGGGAATGGACGTCCGAGCGATGGCCAGAACACTGCCCTTTTTTATTTTGGCACTGGCGTGGCCAGAAGTGGCCCCGCAGCGACAGTGCAGCATTTTGATTGCCCCGTGCCCGACCTAAAGCGAAGTCGGGCCCGTCCCTCTACAGAAGGAACATTCAAACATGGGCAAAAACCCAAAAAACAGTCGGGATTTTATTGTTTGACTGTTTCCTGCCATTTGGGAACATTTGTTGAGTGTTTTTTTCGTCGAAATCCCCCTGCAGGGGGACGTGCCCGACTTGAGCCTAGAGCTGCCTCTGCCTTGGCCCGTGCCGGCCGCCGAGGTGCCGGCTCCCGGGGCTCCCGAAGCCCGCGGTCCAGCGCGCCAGCACCGAGCCGCAGCCCTTCTCGCTGGCGCTGGTCGGCCCCCCCCTGCGGGCCCGGCAGACCCGGGCTCCGTCGCGTCGTCAATAGGGGAACAACAAGTGGCATAAACTCAGAGCCCCGAATCATCAGGGGTAACTCGGGTCAGGGCTAACTCGGGTTCCTTTTTCGGGAATCCAAACCCGAGTTACCCCGGACCCGAGTTACCCCGGATAACTCGGGCGTCCAGAGCCCCGAATCATCAGGGGTAACTCGGGTCAGGGCTAACTCGGGTTCGCTTTTCGGGAATCCAAACCCGAGTTACCCCGGACCCGAGTTACCCCGGATAACTCGGGCGCCCAATAAACATAAAAACTCAGAGGTCCGCGCGGATTTTTCGGATCGGCGCTGCACCCCCCTCCCTGGCGCGCGGAGCGCGCCAGGGGCGGCGCCGGGGCGGCGCCGGAGGCGCCGCCGGGCGGCCCCAGCGCCGATCCGAGAAATCCGCGCGGACCTCCGAGTTTTTATGTTTATGCCATTTTTGCTCCCCTAGTAAACAAGAGTACGACGGGAGGTCTCTCCCCAGACCTGATCGCGCCGCAGAAAAAAAAAGCCGGCCGCCAGGTTCTTGCCAGTTTTCGGCCTCGGGGGCCCTCGCCAGGCCTGGGTACCGTCAAAAAACGATTCAGGCTGAAAAAAACGGTCCCGGGGAAAGGGTTGGGGTTTCCAGGGACGCCGTCTTGAAAAAATCAGGACGTCGCATGTCTGCGTCTCGAAGACAAACTTTTGGCGCTCCGCGCGCATTTCCTGGAACCGCGCTGGGCCCCCCCGGCGGCGCCTCTGGCGCCCCTCTAGCGCGCTCCACGCGCCAGGGAGGGGGGTCATGCGCGGATCCAAGAAATCAGCGCGGAGCGCCATCAGTTTCTGTTTATGACGTCTTTCTTTTCTATTTTCGCAATGTTCTGCCTCTTGGGGGCCCTCGCCAGGCCTTGGGGCCGTCAAAAAACACTGGGGATGTGAAGAGCCCGTCCTGGGGAATGGTCGCCATTTTCTTATTGTTTTGCCGATCGGCGCGGGCCACCGCACCCTTCCCCCTCCCCCACCCTATGGAGTAGATCTTGGCTGTTTGGGGCGCCTGTTTCACGCAGGTGGAGTCTCCCCCATAGGACGCACCGCTGTAAACAGTCGCACTGAGCAGAGGTCCGGAGCTAGACCCCCCCCTTCCGCCCAATGCCGAAACGCCGAATGAGAAAACGCTCACTTTCGCAATGTTCTGCTCTGGGGGCCCTCGCCAGGCCTCAGGACCGTCAAGAACTGCTGGGGACGAAAAGCCCGTCCTGGGGAAGGGGCCAAGACTTCCCTGCACGCTGTGCTCCAGTCGGCGCCGCAGGTCTGCTCGAGAGCCATGGCCTGCGTCCCCGAAGGCTCCGCCTGCTGCGCCCCCGGGTGGCGCACCGGCCTGCGCCACCGTGGGCTGCGCCGTGGCAGGCTGCGGCGCGGGAGTGCTCCGCTGGCCGCGCCCCTCCTCCTCCTCCTCCTCCTCCTCCTCCTCCTCCTCCTCCTCCTCCTCCTCCTCCTCCTCCTCCTCCTCCTCCTCCTCCTCCTCCTCCTCCTCCCGTAGCCATTTTGGCTCAAGATGCCTAGTTCCACAGTGGAACAAGTGGATACCGCTAGTCCGCGGCCAGTGCCAGGGCTCTTGAGCCCGACAGCCCCTTCTCGATCCCAAGTGCAGACTGCAGCACCATGGCTGGCGCCGGCCGAAAGGAACGCCAGGACTGGGCTTGCAGGAGCTGTACGACGAAGCGCGGCAAGCCGCTCATCAACTTCGGGACCTCGCTCAAGTGCCAAGGGTGCAGGCTCCACAAGAAGGACGTGTACGGCGGGCCTGTGCCGCCGAAGGAGCCCTCGATGCGGGCCCCAGCCAAGGGCAAGAAGCGGGCCCCTTGGACGGCCGAGGGCAAGCTCGAGGGCGAGCTCGCGGCCATGCGGGCGGAGCTCGACGCTGCCAGGAAGAAGCTTCGTACGCAGGAGTCCGACCAGGGCGGGGCCGCGGCCATGCACGTGGACGACGGCAAGTCAGGCGAGGACGCCTCGGCTGCGAGCGAGATCAAGGTGTGCGAGGCAGGCCTGGCCACGCTCAAGGACGTGCAGCACGACTGGGCCACGGGCCCGCGGGAGGATCTCAAGCGCAGGCTCGCCGCCGCCAAGGACAGGCTCTTCGCCGCCAAGCCGCTCCACGCGCGGGTGCAGGCGCTGGCCCACAGGCAGAAGAATCTGGCGGACAAACTCAGCAAGATGGAGCTGGCCGAGCGCGAGGCGGAGGACCGTGTCAAGAAGGCGCAAGACGAGCTGGAGCTCAAGCGGCATGGTGTCAGAGAGCTCAAGGCGCAGCAGGTGGCCCTCCAGGCGGAGCAGTCGGCACTCCAGCAGCAGGTCCCAGTCGCGCCAGAGGATCGTCCGCCTGGGCAGTCCATGGAGCACGACGTCATCAAGAACACGGGCGGCCTCACCCTCGGCGACCTGGCGCAGGCTCTCAGCGGTGCTCTGGCCGCTCACCCCGACGACACCATGCAGACCGCGGGCGATTTGCCGCAGCGGCTGGCCTCGGCGCTCGGCGGGCCCCTCCAGGAGCTCATGCTGCGGCGGCAGCGCGAGCGGGCCGCCGCCACGGAGGCAGCGAGCGCCCCTCGCACCCCTGCAGCGTCCGTCGAGGGAGACGACGCCGCCGCCGCCGCGCATGGCGCAGGCACTGCAGGCGGCGCCGCCCCTGCAGCCGCAGCGCCGCGCTGGGATCCCGCCGCGATGGAGCCCGAGAAGCTGCGGCAGACCATGGCGGAGTTCTCGCCAGGGCCAGCAGAGGAGACCAGCGACGCCATGCTGGCGCGCGCCACGGAGCTGGCCGTCAGGGGCTTCAATCCTTACTAAGCTCATCATCGCGATGTCCTGCACACTTGCGATGGCGAAAGGCACTATCACTACCAGCAACGTGACTTCCTGGGGTTCATTGGCGCCGTGCCTAGAGACCCTCGAGTCGCACGTCGTTCTCGTCCAGGAGCATCACCGACGGGACGAGGCGAAGCTCGCCGACCTGCAGCACGAGGTGCTGGATCACGGGTTCGCGGGCATCTGGGCGCCAGCAGTGGCAGGCCCCACCTCCGCGGAGGGCACTACGGGCGGCGTCGCGGTCTTGGCCCGCAAGAACATCCCCGTCACGGCCCCGCCGCTGCTGCCCTCGGCGACACTGTGGCCAGGGCGACTGGTGGCCGCCCACGTGCACTGGGGAGTCCGTGGCGGCATTGTCTTCGTGTCGGCCTACCTGGTCGACAGCGTTGGCATGAACGACGTGAACCGAAGCATCTTCGGCGCGCTCACTCGCTACCTCACGAAGCTCACGGCCTCGGGCATCGATTGGATCGTCGGCGGCGACTTCAATGGGCCTCCCAGCTGCCTGCCCCTGGCGCAGTTGGAAAAGGCGGGGGGCCTCTGGCTAGCGCCGTCGGCCGACACCTGCCGCCCACAGGCGGGCAGCGGCTCGGTGCTGGACTACTTTCTGGTCGGTGCAAACCTGGCCAGCCGCATCTCGGCTCCGAGAGTGGATGAGTTGGGCATCACCTCCCCGCACCTCCCTGTCAACATGGAGCTGCGTGCCGCCGACCTGGACATGCGCGTGAGGATCCCGATCGCCCCCAGGGCGATTCCAGCGGTGCCGCCCATCGGCTGCAGCCGCGGTGTCGAGGACTGGGCGCCCACTTTGGCCCAGGTGCGCGCCACAACCAGCGCCGAGGAGCTGCCAGCAGCCTGGGACGCCGTCGTCAGCACCTTGGAGCAGGAGCTGTTGGACCGCTACGACCAGGTTGGCGAAGCGCGCAGGCGGTTCGAAGGACGTGCGGGGCCCATTGCGACCAAGCTGGCGCCAGTCAAGTGGAAGCCGCAAGGGCAGCGTGTCCGATTGGGGCCTGATGTCATCGCGGCCAAGGTCGCGGGCCGATGGGCGCGTCACTTCATGGGGGTCAGCGCGTTCCTCGCGAAGGCCAGCAGGAGGCTGCAAACCGCCAGCCTGCAGTGCTCCCTTGTCCCTGAGCAGTACCACGAGCTGGCGGACTTCGTCGCGAGGGCTTTGGAGTATGGGCGCGTGGTTATGGACAGCAAGAAGACGCTGGCACTGCTCCCGCATTGGGTGAGGTCCTTCTTCGAGCAGGGCTTTCGCGTGATCGGCAACACCGACTTCCTGGAGCAGGCGGGCCGCGTCGTCCAGTTCGCCAAGGACGCCCACGCGGACGCGCTCAAGGTCAGGCAGCAGAGCTGGATCCAGTGGGCCAACGACAGCCTGCGGAACGGCGCTGGCAAGGCGCACCGCTTCACCAAGCTGCGGGCGATGCAGGAGGTGCTGGCGCAATGGCAGGGCACCCACACCGAGCTCACCACTGGACGGCTCGCCCAGACCTTCGTCCCGCAGCAGCAGGTCGCCAGCCAGCACCTGATCTGCGACCGGGAGATGAAGGCCTGGGAGGACGTCTGGTCGTGCCACAAGCTCGAGGCGCTGGAAAGGCCAGCTGACTTCGACGAATGGGACGACCTCGAAGACCTCACCGTGGAGGCGCTGCAGCGGGCCGCCTGCAGCTTCCCCACCACCACGGCGCTCGGCCCAGCGCAGATCGGCATGCGCGCGCTCACCTTTCTCACGGACGACGGCGTTTACACCTGCGGCCAGCTCTTCATGAAGTGCGAGGCGCTGGGGGCTTGGCCCAGCGAAAGGCTGTGGCACGCTATGTGCCGCATCCCCAAGGCCTCTGGCGGCTGCAGGCTGATCACGCTGATGCACTCGCTAATCCGATGGTGGTCGAGGGCTCGTGCCTCGACGTCCAAGGCGTGGCTGACGGCGCACCCCAATGCCAGTATTTGGGGCATGGGCGGCGGCAGATCTTCCTCCGACTCCGCCTTCGACCTCAACCTTGAGACGGAGGTATCGGACTGCCTGGACGAGCACGTCGTAATCGTCATGCTGGACGCCTGGAAGTTCTTTGAGACGATTAAGCCCGAGTGGCTACTCATCGAGGCGCGGCTGCTGGGCATGCCGCTGCGGTTGGTCTGGATGTTGATTGAGCTATACAGGCAGCCGAGGCGGCTGCAAGCTTTCGGCTCGGTGTCCTACGCGGTCGTGTCACATCAGGGCGTGCTCGCAGGATGCACTCACGCCTGTGCCATGGTCACCTTGCTCATGTTCAGGCTGCTCGAGCAGGTGCGAGATGCAGGCGTCACCCCGAGGGCCCTCATCGACGACGTCACCTTGCAGTGGCGCGGGAGGCGGCTCTCGCAACTGGGCGTGCTTTGGGCGGCCACCACCAGGTTCCGCGAGGGCGCCCAGGAGCGAGGCATTGTCGTGCAGCCCACCAAGTCGGGCTACTTGGTCTCATCGGACGCGGCTGCTCGCGAGTGTGCCCGACACGCGGCGGCCCGCAAGCTGACCAAGATGCGCTGGGCCCGCAACCTGGGGCACGATCTGGGCGGGCGCAGAATCGCGAGGCTCCAGACGGCAAAGCGGGTGCGGCAGCTCAAGGAGCGGCGCGGCAAGTTGGCAGCTTTCAAAGGGGCAGTGGGCAGGCGCGCTACCTGCCTGTGGAAGACGGGCCTCATGCCGAGTGCGGCGCACGGTGCTGGGGTGTCAGGGCTCACCGACGATACGCTGCAGGTGCTGAGGGCCGAGGCTGGCAGGCTTGCAGGGGCTCGGCCAGGTGCATCGAGCGTCACGGTGTATTTAGCCACGCAGAAGGCGCGCGAGTACGACCCCATCTACGGCGCCACCTGCGACATCGTTTGCCGATACGCCAGCTGGATCTGGGAACAACGCACCTCCCTGGCTAGGCTCCACAGGGCCTGGGCCAAGGTCACGGAGCGGCTCGTGGGGCGCCCGTCCTGGGCAGGGGCTCGCGGTCCCATCGCCTCCGTCACGCTGACGCTCTGGCGCATCGGATGGCACATGTACTCCAGCACGACCCTGGTCACCGACCAGGATACGGCGATCAACCTCCTCACCACGTGCCCGAAGGACGTCAGGATGCATCTGACCGGCGGCGTGCAACGCTGGCAGGCGAGGCAGATCGCGGCGCACCACCGCCAGCACGGCGAGGTCAAGCCTTGGGTGCGGGCCATGCGGCTCTGCGTGGGCGACGGGCGCGCGGCGTTGGCGGAGGGCCCGTCGGCCACCAGCCTGCGTCACCACTGGGCGACGGTGGCCTGGACGCAACAGGCCCAGCACGACCTTGGGCTGGCGGCGGCGCCGAATTGCAGGGCCTGCGGACATCCGTCCGACTCGCCTGGGCACAGATTTTTCGGCTGCGAGGTACTCGTGCAGCCGCTCACAGAGGAGGAGCAGGACGAGCAGCTGCCGCCCGAGCCGATGCAGGCCATCCGCACCTTCATGTGCGACAAAGGCCTGCAGGAGGGCGGCAGCTTCGAGAGCGCCGACTTCCAAATGTGCTTGCCCTGCATGCCGCCATTCGTGCCGCCCGCCGCGGAGCAGGCCGAGGTGAAGTTCTGGGGCTGCTGGCCTAGCCAAGGGGCGGACACGGCTTCCTGCAGCAACGCCGTCTTCACCGATGGCTCAGGCTTCGCGTCCAGCATGCCCGAGCTGAGGCGCTGCGGATGGGCCTTCGTGCAGCTTTCCCTCCAGGGACTGCCTGTTCGGGCGGCGTTCGGGGCGCTGCCAGGGCCGCTCCAGACGGTCGGGCGCGCGGAGAGGCACGCGCTGCTGCAGGCATTGCGGCTCGCGGGGCCGCAGCTCGAGTTCGTCTTCACCGACCTTCTGTCGATGGAGAAGGAATGCAGCCACTGGGGGCAGGAGCTAGAGGAGGCGCGAGCGGCACATGCCACAGTGTGGAGACGGATTCGTGCCCAGCCAGCGCGGCCTGAAGTGAGATGGATCCCCGCGCATCAGGACATGGATGCGTACTTGGACCGAGGCCTCCACCCGCTGCTGTACTCTGGCAACATGTGGGCCGACTGGTTCGCTCGGCAAGGAGCCATGCAGCACACCGTGTCGAAGGTGTACGAGGAGTTCTACAACATCGAGCTGCAACACTACAAGAGCCTGGCAAAGTACGTCGGCTGGGCGATGCAGAGGACGATGCACGCAGGCCGCTGGGATGCGCCCGAGCAGACAGCCCGCCCGCCAAAGGTGCCCAAGGTGCAGGCGGCGACTGTGATCAGCCACTCCCTGGTTCGCCTGAACGGGACGGCGGTGGTGCTGTGCCGCGCTTGCTGCAGGCAGACCAGCGGGCAGACGGGGCCCACATGGACGCAGTTCGCGCGTTCAGCTTGCGAGGCCAGCCAGTACACCGCGCTGCGGGCCGAGGCCATCATCGCGCACGTCGGCGCGCAGCCCATTGTGGTCTCGGAGGCGGGCGAGTTCGCTATGCAGGCGATCGAGCGCGCGGCGTGCCCCGAAGATGCGGGGCCCACGCCAGCCGAGCCTGCCCCCTGGGGCTCAGGGGACGGCACCATCGAGATGCAGGGGCACAGGCTGAGGCGCGCAGGGCCCACCATCTACTGCGAGGTATGCGTGGCGTGGGCGGCGACAGGCTCCTCACTGGCCCGGGCTGCGCCCTGCGCTGGCCCGCCCAGCGCCGAGGGCAAGAACCAGCGCACCTACCTGTCCAACCTCAGGGCGCGGCTCAAGAAGCTCGCTCAGCCAAGGGCTGCACCCCAAGACAGGAAAGGTGCTCACTTGGGGAGGTGCAGGCGAGGCTCCAGACGGCCCCAGAACATGGGCCACAGCGGCGGCCAGCGCGGCCGCGGGCGACATGGCCTCTGGGGGCGACGGCGCTGCAGAGCGGCCAAGCGGCAGGCACGCGCAGAAGGAACAGGGCGAGGCGACCAGGCCTGGCCAGGACCACGAGACGCGCGAGGTGCCTGCAGGGGCTGGAGGTTCCGACGCAGTCCAGACCAAGAAGCCTGATTGGCGGGTGCGACGGCAGGAGCTCCTGGAACGGATGCAGCGAAGGCAGCAGCATCTGCTAGCCGAACGTGGTCCAGCAGCCGCCAGCGGCGCGCAGCGTGATGAGGGAGACATGGCCGACGGCAGCTTGCCCTCGGCCTATGGAGCGCACCAATGCCCCGACGGGGGCACCACTGGGCTGGTGACGCTCCAGCCGCCGCCAGCTGCCCCAGACGTGGGGGTGGTCGATGCCTGTCTGGCGGCGGGGCCGTCGCGGCTGCCTGCGCCCTTGAGGTGTGACCTGGCACACGTGGTGACGCTGACCACGGACCACCAGGAGGGCGCCGTGACCAGCCCTCAGGACATGAGCAGCCCGCCGCAGCCGTTCTCGACTACCGATATGGCCAGCACCAGGGGTGGCAGGGGACCTGCAAAGTGCGGTCGCGAATGCGGCCCCGCCCTGAGTGCTGGCAGGTCTGACAACTCGCAGCTGGCGCTGCCAGGCATGGCCAGTGACAAGGGTGGCAGGAGGCCTGCAAGCCGCGACCCTGAGTGCGGCCCCACCATGGGCACTGGCGGCGACGGCAGCCAGGCCCACCGCGTGCGGCGACGATTTACGGCCTGGGCCAGGGGTGGCAGGGGACCTGCAATGTGCGCGCGTGAGTGCGGCCCCGCCCTGAGCCCAGGATGCGACGAGGACCGCGACGGCAAGGGCATGGCCAGCGCCAGGGGTGGCAGGGGACCTGCAAAGTGCAGTCCTGTGTGCGGCCCCGCCCTGGGCACTGGCAGCGGGTCTCTGGAAGCGGCGTCGCCTGAGGAGGACCAGCGGCAGCCGCTGCTGGCTTCTGGGGAGGCGTGTCCACGTGCAGCTACGGCTGGTGCCAGGGGTGGCAGGGGACATGCAGTTTGCGGTCCTGAGTGCGGCCCCGCCCTGAGCACCAGCACCCGCCCCGAGCGGCGACGGATTACGGCCTGGGCCAGGGGTGGCAGGGGACCTGCAATGTGCGTGCGTGAGTGCGGCCCCGCCCTGAGCCCAGGATGCGACGCGACCGCGACGGCATGTGCATGGCCAGCACCAGGGGTGGCAGGGGACCTGCAAGTGCCGACCGTGTGTGCGGCCCCGCCCTGAGTGCTGGCAGAGTTGCGGTGGCTCGGCCTGAGCCAGCGCAGCCGAGGCGCAGCGTCGCGCCCAGGCATGAGCTGCAGGTCGCTGGATGGGCGCGGTACTGGACCCAGGCTCCCGAGGTCGGCGAGACGATGGAGTGCTACAGCGAGTGGCTCGACCACTGCGTCGGCTACGTCACGCAGTTCCTGTCCCAGCCGCGCTTCGCCACCAGGCTGCGGGCGCGTGGGAGGACGGCCGAGGAGATGGCCGAGGAGATCTGCGAGCGGGCCTGGGGGACTGGCATGCCCGCGAGGCGGGCCTACTACAGGTGGCGCCACACGCTGACGCGGTCGCAGAGGATCGTGTCGGACTGCGTGCGGCGCTACGACTACGTGTGCCTGCGGACGTGGCTGGCCGAGCTGCGGCGGGAAGGGCAGCCACCGCCCATTGGCCCGCTCAGAGCGCCTTCGGTGCCGTGGAATGCGGGACGCAGGAGGCGACGGAGAAGTGGTTGAGGGTCGGCCTCTCCTGGCACGGGCAGCCGCTGCGTGGCGTTCTGGCCCCAGCGGCTCGCCGCAAGGCGCTGCGCGGCGGTCTGGCCCCAGCGCGCCGCCCTTCGCGTCCGTCGACGTGATCGGCATCACTGGCCTCCCCTGAGGCTGCGGCCCCCTGGCCGCCTGTGCTGCGTCTAGTTGGCCTGGCCGACGCGACGTCCTGCCGCTGCTCTCCGCTGCTCTCCTCCTCCTCCTCCTCCTCCTCCTCCTCCTCCTCCTCCTCCTCCTCCTCCTCCTCCTCCTCCCGTGCTGCGCTGCGGGCCGCCTCTCCGCAGGCCGCGCCTCGGGCGGGCTGCGGCCGCAGGTCGCCCGCGCTGGCGCCTGCGGCGTGGGGGCTATGGCGCCGCGTGCCGCTGCCGCGGGGCATCGCGCCGTGGGCCGCCGAGGCCTAGGATCGCGCCGGAGCCTCTCTTCGCTGCTGCTGCGGCCTCGGGGAGGCCGTCTTCGGCTGACGCCGCGCCGAGGGGGGGGGGAAGCGAGAGGGGGCAGGGCTTCTCAGAGGGCGGACAGGGGGTTGTCAGAAGCCTCCCCATGCCTTCCGAGGAGCCTTCCGGTAAGCCGTTTGTGTTCGGAGAAGGTTCGAGAATCTCTCAGGATCGCCCAGCGCGCTCCGCTGCTCGCAAAGTGCCTGCTCGCAAACGCCCAGAAGACAGGTACTGCTCAGTGCGATAGAGCTTGTTCGCCTCAACGAAGTGGATCCAGGCCGCTGTAGATTATCCAGGGAAGAACAACCACCCGGACCGGGCCATTGGCGTTTACTAGACGACCCAGGGCGTTTACGAAACAGTCCTGCCCCGTTCGATTCCTTCTCCGGGGTGCGTTTCCTGAACGGCTTCGCGTGTCGGGGTGGTTGTTGTCGGGGTGGATCCTCTGCCCTCCAGAACAGCTGCCCTGCGAGTCGTGGAGCGCGCTCGTCTCCCGGAGGCCAGCGGCCCCGCGAGCGCCTCCCGTTCGGGGCCGCGCCCTCTGCCTGCCACCTCTGGGCGCGCCGCCGCTGCCAGGGCGGCGCCCGGGAAGGGGGGTGGGTTGGCCTGCGTCGGGCACGTCTCTCCGCAGGAGGGCCGTGCGAGGACAGCAGCAACAATCGTCGGGCGACGATGCTCCGAGCAGTTTCAATCGCATGGGGCCTGCGTCGGGCACGTCTCTCCGCAGGAGGGACGCGCGAGGTCAGCAGCAAGAATCGTCGGGCGACGATGCTCCGAGCAGTTTCAATCGCATGGGGCCTGCGTCGGGCGCGTCTCTCCGCAGGAGGGACGTGCGAGGACAGCAGCAACAATCGTCGGGCGGCGATGCTCCGAGCAGTTTCAATCGCATGGGGCCTGCGTCGGGCACGTCTCTCCAGAGGAGGGACGTGCGAGGACAGCAGCAACAATCGTCGGGCGACGATGCTCCGAGCAGTTTCAATCGCATGGGGCCTGCGTCGGGCACGTCTCTCCGCAGGAGGGACGTGCGAGGACAGCAGCAACAATCGTCGGGCGACGATGCTCCGAGCGGTTTCAATCGCATGGGGCCTGCGTCGGGCGCGTCTCTCCGCAGGAGGGACGCGCGAGGACAGCAGCAACAATCGTCGGGCGACGATGCTCCGAGCAGTTTCAATCGCATGGGGCCTGCGTCGGGCACGTCTCTCCGCAGGAGGGACGTGCGAGGACAGCAGCAACAGTCGTCGGGCGACGATGCTCCGAGCAGTTTCAATCGCATGGGGCCTGCGTCGGGCACGTCTCTCCGCAGGAGGGACGTGCGAGGACAGCAGCAACAATCGTCGGGCGACGATCGAGCAGTTTCGTCGCATGGGGCCTGCGTCGGGCACGTCTCTCCGCGGGGGACGTGCTCGTCGGCGAGCAGTTTCAATCGCATGGGCGTCGGCACGTCTCTCCGCAGTTTCGTCCCTCCGCAGGGGGCCTGCGTCGGGCACGTCCCTCCGCAGGAGGGACGTGCGAGGACAGCAGCAACAATCGTCGGGCGACGATGCTCCGAGCAGTTTCAATCGCATGGGGCCTGCGTCGGGCACGTCCCTCCGCAGGAGGGCCGTGCGAGGACAGCAGCAACCATCGTCGGGCGACGATGCTCCGAGCAGTTTCAATCGCATGGGGCCTGCGTCGGGCACGTCCTTCCGCAGGAGGGCCGCGCGAGGACAGCAGCAACAATCGTCGGGCGACGATGCTCCGAGCAGTTTCAATCGCATGGGGCCTGCGCCGGGCGCGTCTCTCCGCAGGAGGGGCGTGCGAGGACAGCAGCAACAATCGTCGGGCGGCGATGCTCCGAGCAATTTCAATCGCATGGGGCCTGCGTCGGGCACGTCTCTCCGCAGGAGGGACGCGCGAGGACAGCAGCAACAATCGTCGGGCGACGATGCTCCGAGCAGTTTCAATCGCATGGGGCCTGCGTCGGGCACGTCTCTCCGCAGGAGGGGCGTGCGAGGACAGCAGCAACAATCGTCGGGCGAGCGACGATGTTCGAGCAGTTTTCAATCGCATGGGCCTGCGTTCGGGCGCGTCTCTCGCAGGAGGGTAAGTTGCGACGGCCTGCAGCAAACAAGTCGGGCGATAATTCTCCGAGCAGTTCAATCGCATGGGGGGCCCGCCGTCGGGACGTCCCTCCGCAGGCGGGAGTGCGAGGACAGCAGCAAAGATCGTCGGGCGGACGATTGCTCGAGCAGCAGTTTCAATCGCATGGGGCCTGCGTCGGGCACGTCCCTCCGCAGGAGGGCCGTGCGAGGACAGCAGCAACAATCGTCGGGCGACGATGCTCCGAGCAATTTCAATCGCATGGGGCCTGCGTCGGGCGCGTCTCTCCGCAGGAGGGCCGTGCGAGGACAGCAGCAGCAATCGTCGGGCGACGATGCTCCGAGCAGTTTCAATCGCATGGGGCCTGCGTCGGGCACGTCCCTCCGCAGGAGGGCCGTGCGAGGACAGCAGCAACAATCGTCGGGCGACGATGCTCCGAGCAATTTCAATCGCATGGGGCCTGCGTCGGGCGCGTCTCTCCGCAGGAGGGCCGTGCGAGGACAGCAGCAGCAATCGTCGGGCGACGATGCTCCGAGCAGTTTCAATCGCATGGGGCCTGCGTCGGACACGTCCTCTCCGCAGGAGGGACGCCGCGAGGACAGCAGCAAACAATCGTCGGGCGACGATGCTCCGAGCAAGTTTCAATCGCATGGGGCCATGGCGTCGGCACCGTCTCTCCGCAGTAGGGCCTCGCGAGGATAGCAGCAAACGATCTCGGGCGACGATGCTCCGACAGTTTCAATCGCATGGGTCCTGCGTCGGGCACGTCTCTCCGCAGGAGGGACGTGCGAGGACAGCAGCAACAATCGTCGGGCGACGATGCTCCGAGCGGTTTCAATCGCATGGGGCCTGCGTCGGGCGCGTCTCTCCGCAGGAGGGACGCGCGAGGACAGCAGCAAGAATCGTCGAACGGCGATGCTCCGAGCAGTTTCAATCGCATGGGGCCTGCGTCGGGCACGTCTCTCCGCAGGAGGGACGTGCGAGGACAGCAGCAACAGTCGTCGGGCGACGATGCTCCGAGCAGTTTCAATCGCATGGGGCCTGCGTCGGGCACGTCTCTCCGCAGGAGGGACGTGCGAGGACAGCAGCAACAATCGTCGGGCGACGATGTTCCGAGCAGTTTCAATCGCATGGGGCCTGCGTCGGGCACGTCTCTCCGCAGGAGGGACGCGCGAGGACAGCAGCAACAATCGTCGGGCGACGATGCTCCGAGCAGTTTCAATCGCATGGGGCCTGCGTCGGGCACGTCTCTCCGCAGGAGGGGCGTGCGAGGACAGCAGCAACAATCGTCGGGCGACGATGCTCCGAGCGGTTTCAATCGCATGGGGCCTGCGTCGGGCGCGTCTCTCTCCGCAGGAAGGGACGCGTCGAGGACAGCAAGCAAGAATCGGTCGAATCGGCGAATGCTCCGAGCAGTTTCAATCGCATGGTGCCTGCGTCGGGCACGTCCTCATATCCGCAGGAAGGAACTTGCGAGACAGCAGCAACAGTCGTCGGGCACGATCTCCCGGAGCAGTTTCAATCCTCATGGGCCTGCGTCGGGCACGTCCTCTCCGCAGGAGGACGTGGCGAGTACAGCATCCACAATCGTTCGGCGACGATTTCCGAGCAGTTTCAATCGCATGGGGC